CCTCAGTGAGCTCTGCGCCCCCAGTCCCTCAGTGAGCTCTGCCTCCAGGCATATTATCGCAAATCTTGTCATCCTGCTGGATGTGCTGTGATGGCCGCCAAGAGCTCAGAGTGTTGCAGTCCCTGTCAGTTGTTTATTTGTCTTATCTGACATTTATAGTTTTGCTGTGTGTTACGCTGACAGGCTGTAGGAAGTGAACAGAGAAGACTGAGGGGATTTGATCCATCCAGTGTTCTCAGAAGCCACTTAAACTACCAGTAAGTCTTTGGACTGTGGGAGGAAATCAGAGCACCTGGAGAAAACCCACATGACCACAGAGAGAACATGCGAACTCCACACAGACAGCACCCCAGGGTCCTGTGGCCCCAGTGCTGTGCTGTCTTGCCACCTTTGGGTCTGATCCAAGAGCTCAGAATGCTCGATGACCCTGGCAGAGCCAGCCCAGCTGGTCTCTTCAGAGCGAACTGTGAAACACAGACCAGAGGACACCAGTGGAAACTAAATACAAGTTCTTTTAGTTTAGCTCTTGAAACATCCCAGCCATGTCATTGACGATAAAACCCCCGGCTTCTTCCAGGAAATGTCTGGATTAGATCTTTGGATTAGTTAGCAGCTATCAAACAGGCCAGATGGACCAACAGCCAGCTCTTGTGTGTATGAGATTCTTACATGTTATCACATGCACAGTGATACCGATTCACTGCTAGTTGCTTTCTCTGTCTGATCTAAGCGTACAAAGTGATAGAGGCTGATTAATTATATGTTTATTTTGTTTGTATCCATGTATGTGGTATAATCTTGTATTGAAAGTCATTTTGGGAATGGTGTGTCTTTCTTGACTTTGACAAAATGGAGGACAAGCTGGTGAAGCTCTTGCATTTTCGGAAGAGATCTTAATTTGCAGGTGTCAATGTACCATGGCTGTGGTATTAGTTTTCAAAGGTTAAACATATTTAAAATATGAGGGAACGTGTTTTAAGTTGCTAAGCAGCAAGTGTTCTGGATAGATGTGTTAAACTAAGTTAACACAGCTGTTGCAAATCAAAAGGTTGGCATTTTGGAGTATTTTTTGTGCTCTGAAAATATAAACATTGCAGAGTCTACTTACCAGTCCCGTTTATTACACAGGCTTTGGGTTCTCTGCTTTATTTCTGTTGGCTTTTATTTAGAAGTGAATGACAGCTGAAGGGTTAGACATTAGTTCCAAGGAACTGCGCCAGCCCCTCGTTCCCTCAGCACAGCCCTCGGCTTCTCTTGAGCTGCGCTGCTAGTCAGGACAAACGCCACCGAGCTGCTCTGTGTTTCTTCGCCATCGAGACATTTTTACACACAGTTGTGCTGCCAGGAGAGGATTCCAGCAGCTGTGCCTCTTTTGACCAGATTTCCAAGATAACCTTTTTTTTTTTTGTTTTCACAGCATGATATCAATATATGGTTTGCATCTCGGGTGAAAGTTCAGGCATCATCCGTCTGCATCCTGCAGGGCTTGACAGTACAAGCAGCACCTTTCCCGTCGCTGGCAGCTGGAGTAGCTGGATACAGATTGGCCAGACGGGTGAATAGTCATGTGGATGTAGCCTGTTTCATTAAAATGTAATAGCACATTGGCGTAAGTCACAATGAGATATTATTCAGTCGGATCTTATTACCTCGCAGGAGGCTGTTAAACGGCGCTGCAGTAAGTGGAGCAGTTGAGCAGATCAATGAAGCACAAATTAGGTGCAGAATTTGTTACAGGTGACCGTTGTAAATAAGGCAAAAGACTACCGGTGAGTTCAGACGGCTTGCAGCCGAGCAGAGCTCAACAACAGGTGCTTTTGATGTGATGCCTAGGGAGCAGGGCCTCAGGCGGTGCAGTCCTGCTGGTAAGAGCTCGGGAGCTGCATAGCAGCCGGAGGAGTTGCAGGGTTTTGGCATCAACGTTTTCCCCCTCCCTCCTGTTTTTGCAAAACGGTGGAAGTGTAATTTGTAGACCGGCCCGAGACGGCTCCAGTCGTCTCTGCCTGAGCTCTTCGGTGTGGGAGTCGCCTGATGTGTGGGGAAGGTTAGGACTGACCGCGCGGTCTGTTGATCTGTGCTGTGTCCTGCTCTCAGGTGTGTGCCGCCCCCCCGCGCCCCACCACGGCCCTCACCTGCGTACTGCGGTGCTTCCCCTGCGAGCCGTCCTGGGCCGGCAGCCCCTTCCCGCACCGCCCCCCCACCCCGCCCATGGTCAGGATGACGCGCTCCAAGACCTTCCAGGCCTACCTGCCCAGCTGCCACCGGACCTACAGCTGTGTCCACTGCCGCGCCCACCTGGCCAACCACGACGAGCTCATCTCCAAGGTGCAGGGGGCAGAGGCGGATCATGGGAGTGGGTGGGGGCAGAGGTTGGGTTGATGAGTGGGCGTGGCAGGGCGGAGTGGGTGGGGGGCAGAGGACAGAGGCGGGGTCAAACAGTGGGCGTGGCAGGGCGGAGTGGGTGGGGGGCAGAGGACAGAGGCGGGGTCAAATAGTGGGCGTGGCAGGGCGGAGTGGGTGGGGGCAGAGGACAGAGGCGGGGTCATATAGTGGGCGTGGCAGGGCGGAGTGGGTGGGGCAGAGGCGGGGTCAAATAATGGGCGTGGTATGACAGAGTGGGTGGGGACAGAGGCGGGGTCAGATAGTGGGCGTGACAGTGCGGAG